GATACTTCAATTAAGTTTACTTCCAGTTCTTTTGGTCCCTTTGTAGCAACAATAACATAGCATGCTTGTGCTGATTTCTGAGAACCCTGAATTTGCTCGATGCCATACTCAATTGGAAAATGAAGCAGTTGGTGGTAGGTGCTCGGCACAGCCTGCATGGTATGCAACCAAGTTCTCTCCAAGGTGAGATTGTATGGTGACGGGGAGTTTGACAACCAGAAATTCTACATCTACCGATTTGGTAGCTGCCCATGCTGGTAGTGTGATCTTACCCATGGGTTACTCAGGGTTGGCGTTGAAGCCAAAAAATGGGTAGTCGGCCGGCAACAAATCCCAATCAGTGAAACCAAGTTTAACAAACGTCTTGTAATGCATTATTTTCGAAGTGCTTTCTTGATCGATGAGGATGCACTCAACTGTGAACCTGTTCACTCGTAGCTCGACGATAAGGGGATCGGCGTGGAAGAGAGTTACTCCAGCTAAGTCAGTGTCATCAAAGCTAATCCTCCCAGTTTTATGGGGCTATTTGGCTGGTGTGACTGGTTTGGGCGCGTTAGGTTGCGACTGAACTGTATGCACCTCGGCTGAAGATGGTAGGCTATAAATCATGTGAATTATGTCGAGTGGTGGTGAATTTGGCCACAGGGCTACCGTGTTCGATGGATTATTCTTTCAAACATATTGCGTCATCCGGCTGTCTTGTGCCAACACTTCTTGGTGATCCTTCAATGCATAACAACTATCAGTATCGCGGCCATAGTCCTTGTGATATTTGCACCGTTTATCCCTTCTCCTTATATTAGGAGGCTCTATCATTTTAGATGACCATTTAAAGAACGGATGATGTTGGACTTTGGATAAGATCTTACCGATCGGTTCTGCTAATTTCGTGTACTTCTTATCTGAACGTCTTGTGCGCCTGCTATCCACTTGATATTGTTCGTTTGATCGCTGCGAACACTGATCGCTCGAACAACGCAAATTACGCCTTTTGTCTCATTTAGCCCGAGTCCGAGATTCGGGGCTCCTTGATGGTACGACTCTCATTGGCTGAACTGGACTAGACGGAACCGATTTATCAACTTTCTGTCCGGCCCTGACCCACAGGGCGTTGTTTTCCACCTTACAATATTCTTCAACTTTCTTTATTAACACCCAAACTGTTTTGGGGGGTCATCCGGTCAATGAACTGCGAAGAGGACTATCAGGATGTAGCCCATCTTGAAGGCGGTAATGGCCATGGAATCATTGAAGGCATCATCTACCAAGTTGAAACATTTCCAATAGAGCGCCGAATACTCACGGAGAGTCTCTTCTGGTTTAATTTGCATGGCCCAAAGAGAGTCGGCTTGTTTTTCCTGAACTTCGTTGGTGATGAATCTCCCCCTGATGGATTTTTGGAGTTGATGAAAGCTTCTTATTGACGCCGGCTTCTGCTTATAATACCATCTGACGGCCAGCGGCCCCAAGCTACTTGGGAACATTCGACACATGAGGGCTTCATCATTAGCATTCAATGTCATCGCTTGTTTATAATGATGAATATGGTCAGTGGGATATGATTTTTCGTCATATAGGGTGAATGATGGTGCTTTGAACTTCTTAGGAAGCACTGCCCTTGCGATGCGTCGTACGAAAGGGTCTTGCCTGTCTTCTTCATCCAAATCATCAATTCTTTTCCCTTGCTTGTACCGTGTGTACGGACTTCATTCGGATGAGTTGGATACATAGACGCGTCCCTTCTTTCTGGGTTCTTGGGATGGTGAGTCAGAATCACTGCCATTATCATGTTTCCGAAGTCGACATTGTCGATCGTCTTTCTTTCTTGGGGATTGACCCCAGTCATGGCATGTGGCCTGCTAGGATTTGGCTAACTCCAGGGCCCATTCCTGACGTAGCTGCTCATTTTCAGTCATGATATCTTCGAAACGCTGTTCATTTCACTTCGCCTGATCCATGATTTTCTGCATAGTCTCTTGCACCGAAGTTGAGGGTGAGGTCTGAGCTATTGGGACAAAGTTCAGGGCCCGTCACATGGTGATATTCTCCAGTCCAAGCATATTTCTTGTAGTGATGTCATCTCTTGGCGTTACGTCGTCAGCAACTATCAGAGGATCATCTGTTACACCCGCCACGGATACGTTTGAGTATTCCCACAGACGGCGCCAATTGTGAAGAAATGGTTTGGAAATACTCCTGGATCCAATTGGACGTCCTTGATCCTCTGATTTCTACCTGAAAAGGGGATGAACACTCCGGTCGAGGGTGCCTAAATTAGCACTCCGACGGACAAGTTAGTATTCTCTCCATTTTTCTTCTATCTCAAGGTACTTTACCTATTCTCACATACCTCGCTTTCGTTGATGTTCCTCTATTTATATTACCTTCTTGGCCCAAGGGGTGGGCCCACTCTTAATCTCGCGCATGATTGCTTACTCGGCCTTCCGGTTGTGTGCTGGTTCCTACTTGGCTCCTTACATGGCCGATTTGTACATTTGGCTTCAAGAGCCTTTGGATAGAGCCGAATTGTCTTTGGCCTGATATCTTCAAATATCTTGGTCTTCCTTAGTATATTATATTCGGCCCCCACAAATACAATTTAATGAAACAAAATAAGGGCAAAAAAATTGGGAAAACTTTATTCAATTAAAATATGATAAAGACATAGGATAAAAAAAAATTGCGTAAAATTATTTATTCCATTAAAATCTGATAGTTTATGAGAGAGAAAAGTTAGGGCAAAATTATTTACGCCATTATTTTGGCCAACTATACTTTTATATGTTTTACTTCATTTTTTTCAATTGGGCCTAACTACATTTGTGACTAAATGTTTTTTTTTTTTTTTTAATTGGGTCCAACATAATTTTTTAGAACCCTTTAGACTAGTCCTAAATCAATAAAAATAAATTGGCCTACTTATATTTTGAATATACTACTAATGAATTTGAAGGCCTTATTTTTTGGATAAATTTTGAAACCTAAGGCACAAGCATTAATGGCCCTAGTGCAAGGCTGACCTGATAGCATATCCCATATTAAAACAACATGAAAACCTGAGGCTGAGGCTGAGGCTGGGATACATTCTTCTTCCATCTTGTGATGTTTGTAGAAATAAAAAATATTATGAGAAAGGAATCTTATTTACTTATAATTCTCTAGTTTTCCCTCTTGTGTTGACTTAGTATTTGTAATTTTAATTGTATCAATTTTACTTTTGAAAATTTTAAATTTAGAGTATTTAGTCCAATTAATAACACCTTTTTAGAATTTGAACTAAGATCAAAGGGAAAAATAATCCATTAACTTTGCACTCATAAGTTCTATAATTTGTCACTTGTGTCGATTTGGTATTTGCAGTTCTAATTGTAGCATTTCTACCCTTAAATTTAGCACATTTAGACAACTTACTCATATTGAAAATGTCTTTTTAGAAATTGGACTGAAATTAAGGAGTAAAATAGCTCATCTACCCTCCTCAAAGTGATTGAGGGGCTTGTGTCTAATTTCAAATTATTCATTCTCTTTTGAATAAAATCTTATGTTCTTGATTTCTATTCAATTTTTAAATAGTTGTTATTAATTTGACTAAGTTGATACAATGTGAAAGAATTAGAGGGCACAATTGATACAATTAAAATTACTGGTATCAAATTGTCAAGCGACAAATTACAAGAACCATGAATATAATTTATCCAAATATTATTAATTGTAAAAAATAATTTCTTAGAGCACTGAACACGCCATGATACATCAACACTCTAACTAAACTTTAAACAAAACATAGGGATGTGATTGAGACCCCCTTCAATCACCACCCCCACCACCCCTCCCCCCACACACACGTGGTGAGAGGTGATTGGAGGAGAAGGAAAAAAAAAAAGAAAAAAAAAGAAAAACTGGCCAATCAGAAAGAGGGTAGGGGGGGGAAGCGGTCTGGATCATTTCTCTATAAAGTTTTAAGAAGTTCAAACACAGAAGTAACAATTTATGACAAGCCATAAAGCATCAAATACAATTCACTTCACTAGAACATAATAGTTTGATAAGAAACAGCTCCTGATAGAGAGAGCAATGGTCCCAGAGTTTCACATTCAGCCTCTTTCTCTCTTTACCTGCAAAACTACAATTTCAAATGATGGCACCTCTTTCATCAGCTAGAAAATATAGTGAACATTGGGTAAAGTGGATAGAAAATAACCCCTTTGGGTGAGCTTATATGAAAATTCAATGGTAAATTTGAGGCAAAAATTTGCATTTAATTGAAATGATTAAACTAATCCCTTTCTTATGTATCCAACACAGTAACAATGGAAAAAAAAGAAAAAAAAAAAAAAAAAACACTAAGGGTAGAGAAAGGGTACATACTTGAGACGCCATTTGTGTTTTCTACTTTATTCTTCCACCATGTCACCACTCGTGTGACCTTTTCCCTTTCTTCTGTCGTTTTCCTTTAGCAATTCTTACAAACCATTTTGATTTTCCAATTAAGAACATAAGATATCCCATTACCAAACCCAATACCATTCCACATCCGTACCCCATCCCTACCACTTTCCAATTAAATTCACTTGCAAAGTTGGATCATCTTCCTTGTGCAACATAGGTGTTGGATGCAGTTGTGGTGTGTTAATATCTTCACATTCCTTCGACAGTGGAAATCCACATAATGCCAGGTTCCCATTGTATGAGCTATTTTCAAATGTTTCAAATTGGTTGCCTCGAGGTATGCGACCCTCGAGATGACTTTGTGAAAAATTTAACATACAAAGAAATGTCAAACTTGTCAATTGGCTAGGAATCTTACCAGAAAGTTCGTTTGAAGAGAGGTCCAACAATTCAAGCAAACATAGATTTCCCAATGATGAAGGGATATTGCCAATAAGGTTGTTGTGAGATAAATTAAACAACCGAAGTCCATAAAGTTTTCCGATGACATTTGGAATCTCTCCTCTAAATTTGTTGTGCGATAAGTCAATTGTCGTAAAGATGGTTAGAACTCATGGTAATACAACCTCATTCCCCTTCAACATGATGGTCACTGAATCAGAATAATAGGATTGCCCCATATATTTTCTTTCCACCTTTTCATCAACCATCTTCATAGCATTAAAATGCTTGAAATATGTTGTAGGCAAACAGCCACTAAACTCGTTGTGAGAGAGGTCAAAGATTAGAAGCTTTGGGAAAAGGAGTATAGTTTTGGAAGAGTCCACAGGACCATGGAATTTATTGGATTTAAAGACTAGGACATGCAACTCTGAAAGAAATTCCAACCAGTAGGGGAATGTGTCGTTTATCTTGTTGTTTCCGAAGTCTAGAACCACCAAGTGTCTACATGTTGCCAAGGATCGTGGCACCCTACCTTCCAACTGATTACCATTTAAATCAATATTCCTCAACTTGTTTCCCTCTGTAAATGTGGATGGAATGTTTCCGTGAAAATTATTCATCCTAAGATCTAACACACTGAGTACATTGCTAAAGTTTGCTAAACATTGTGGAATTATACCACTCAAGCTATTATGAGACAAAGCAAGTATCTCAAGGGAACTCACATTGCAAATCATCGAAGGGATTTCTCCGGTGAATGTATTGTTTGAGAGGAGAAGGTCGACCATCATCGGGTGTGATGGAATGGGGCCATGTAGCTTGTTATGACGCAAATCAATATAAATCATTGACTTATTTGAAAATTCATAGATTTGACCTGTGAATTCATTTGCAGCAAGTGATAAATACGTCAAAGATGGAAGATTAAACAGCCAACTCGGCAGCGTCCCACTATGGTAGTTATAATCTGAGTAAAAATATCTTGAGTTTGAAAGCCCTCTTAAGTTGGCGGGAAACGGACCAGTCAGTTTATTCATCCCAGTGTCTAAATAAACAAGTTGTGTCAAGTTGGCTATCCAACATGGGAATTGACCTTTAAAATTGTTTCCCCTCATATTAAAATAAACAATCTTTGAAAGGTTGGCAATATTGGGAATTTGGCCTTCAAGATGGTTAAATGAAATACGCAAGTAAGTCATTTGTGTCAAGTTAGCAAAAGAATTGGGAATTTGGCCTTCAAGATGGTTAAATGAAATACGCAAGTAAGTCATTTGTGTCAAGTTAGCAAAAGAATTGGGAATTTGGCCTTCAAGATGGTTAAATGAAATACGCAAGTAAGTCATTTGTGTCAAGTTAGCAAAAGAATTGGGAATTTGGCCTTCAAGATGGTTAAATGAAATACGCAAGTAAGTCATTTGTGTCAAGTTAGCAAAAGAATTGGGAATTTGGCCTTCAAGATGGTTAAATGAAATACGCAAGTAAGTCATTTGTGTCAAGTTAGCAAAAGAATTGGGAATTTGGCCTTCAAGATGGTTAAATGAAATACGCAAGTAAGTCATTTGTGTCAAGTTAGCAAAAGAATTGGGAATTTGGCCTTCAAGATGGTTAAATGAAATACGCAAGTAAGTCATTTGTGTCAAGTTAGCAAAAGAATTGGGAATTTGGCCTTCAAGATGGTTAAATGAAATACGCAAGTAAGTCATTTGTGTCAAGTTAGCAAAAGAATTGGGAATTATTGTAACTGGGTAAGGTTTTGAAGCAGTACATGGAAATTGTATGGTTCAAGTTTGACTAACTGATAATAGGAAAACAAGTCTAGAGAAACCAATTTCCATAGGTGGGAGATTTCTGATGGGATTGATCCAGAGAAACTGGATGAGAGGTTGAGATGTGTCAAACTTGAAAACTGCCCAAAACTAGGAGAAATCCTTGATTGAGTGAAGTCATTGAAGGCGAGATTGAGTCGCTGGAGGTGTCTGAGACAAAAAAGACTCTTGTTCGGTAGGATGGTGCCATAGAGCTGGCTGCAACTAAGATCAAGCGCAATCACTTGACCAGTCATCCGGTCGCATTTGATCCCATCCCATGAACAATAGTCAGTAGTAGTCTCATTCCATGGCATTGTTTTCGGATAAGAAAGGTGACCATACTGATCACAAAGCCAAGAAGCAGAACCATTTATGGTGAACATATGCTTAAATTGGAGTAATGCAGAGCTCTGTTCTGGTGAACACAAATGGTTTGTTGGAGAAGAAGAAAAGAAAGCAGGTTGATATTGTAAGGTAAAGAAAAGAAAGTGTAAAAGGCACACTAACCACCTCATTTTTTTGCTTAATGAAACCCAGTATGATTGTTGTCGAAAGAAAAAAGATACGGCGTACAAGTTATGATTATGTTAGTCTTGACTTCACTTTATATAGTGAAATATAATTACCAAACATTATTTTCTAGGTGAATTTTTTCGGTTAAAAAATATTTACTGTCTAAACAAATGGAGCACAAGTCCAGGGCCTGCCTGGACATAGGCCCAGCAGGCCATGGCTTAGGACTCTTCAAATAGACTCAAAAAAAGAACCTCTCTTATTATAGTTTAGTATAATATATTAGGTATGTTTTAAGTCTAAAAAAATATCAAAGAAGGCTCAAACTAATTTAAATTAAATTAACTCATTAAAAAATTAAAAGGCTCATTCAAAATTAAAATGACTCATTCTCTCTCCCTATCTAATTCTTAACCCTAACTCTTCATTCAAATTTTTCAAAAATTTGAGAGAATCGGCACAACAAAATACTAACGAATTTCTCAAGAATTTAGAGCAAGTTTGATTGATTTATTTTCTTTTAAAAATGCAAGAAGAGCGAGGATAAAGTAATACTTATTAGTTATTGTAATTTAATGTTATACATTTTTTGTGATTTTGACACAAATCTTTTATCTTTTACCTTCAAAAAAAGTTTCATTGAATAAAAAAAAATATATGTAAAAGGCCCTAATGATCTAGTGATATTTATTAATTGATTATCGACTTTGAGGCGCGAAAATCTCAGGACCGAGCCTGCACAAGTCTCAGTAAAATTTATTCCAAAATTATCATCGCCTGAGTTGGAAATGACCATCCCCTATGCCACGCAAAACACTGCCATCACCATTTACATTGGATTGTCTAACGAGAAAAATGATTTGGTAGTGCAGGAACATCACATGGTAATGTGTCTCACCAATTATCAAACACCAAACATTGTGGTAGTTGTTTCTCATGACTCAAAACAAATTAAGAACCGTACCCTCTCCATCAATTACAATACATAAAACACTGCGTGACCACATCCTAGAACTGCCAAATAACTTCTCGTTGGACCATATCTGAAAAAAGCTGTCAAATCCACTCAAAACACTTGTACAAAAAAAAATATATACACTTCGATATTTCAAAGTCTAGGAACGAATTGCTGATAAAGATGGTCATGCCCACTTGCAACGTAAAGCAACAGGGTAGTGCCGAGTTTTGTTTTGTTCTGTTTTCTTTCATTCTTTAGAGAACGGGTCTTCGTTTTATGCACAATGATAATTAATAAAATATTGAAAATTTTTATAGTACACACTCTAAAATTATGATATTTATTTTTTTTTTTTAAATTTATTGTGGTGTTAATTATTCATTCATTATGACTCATTATAGTGTTAATTATATTAGTTATGACCTATTATGATTATTATTTTAGTTATATTCAAAAAGATTTTTAATTATATTTTATGTGATATTTGGTTATTACTCATTATTTTTTTTTTGTAGTTATAACGGAAAGTGATTTAGTTATAATATACACCTTTTCTAGGGTGTGTATTCTAAAATGATCCTAAAATATTGTAGATGATTTCCCATATCACTAAGAAGATTCACACATCCATTTCTGTGATAAGAAGAGTACTTATTTATCTTATCTTTGTATGTATTTTATTTTATTTTATTTATTTCTCCTGTTGGTTGATTACTCACTAACTTGGGGTAGTGCTAGCAGATGATTGTGCTGCATTTCGGTGGCAAACTAGTTGGTATGGATTTGCTTGCATTGATGCTTTTACACTTTCTTTTTATTGATGCTTATCTATGTAAATCTTTCAATGACGTTCATCAGTGAAGTTTTTTATTTATTAATTTATTTTTCTTTTTTTTGTGTGTTCAAAAAAAAAAAAAAAAGAAGGGCCGATGACGGCAGTACTTGCAGAATCTGTTTTGCTTTTAATGATTCTTATATTTTGGACATCCAGATGGGGTATATTAGGAAATTCTGAATAAGAAATCACTTATATGAGTATGAACTAGGCTGCTTTTGCAAGAATTGAGAATGCTAATTTTTTTAGAGCACTTATTAATTACCAAGTGTTGTCCATTGATTAGACAATAAGTTTGATAGGCTTTCACTAAGGAAAGTTCAAAACCAAAAATTACCTATATCAATGTGGTGTATCTTCTTAGTGTACTATTTCTCTATTTGCATTTCGTTGTATGTCCTATATAGTGAATTCCATTCATGTGAGGGGATTGTTGGAAATGATTTGTAAAAACTTTATTTTTAGCCAATAAATTTAAGGTACAACCATTGCATTATTTTCGTGCGGGTCTGAACGGTAATATTTTTTATGCCACGTAGTTAATAACATCGTATATTTAGTTTTTCAAAAATCATTTACGGATGAATGAGAATTCAACACAAAATGGAGTCACATAGAAATGGTATTTGGTGGGTTTTTTTACACATTGTGAAATGTGCTTGTCTCACGTAGATATGGCAAGAAAACTTGTTTGTGAAGGTTCAATTGGAGACCTTTGTCTCGAAGGCTCAAACCTGTGATACTTTGCCTACATCGGCCACAAGAAACCGCTGTCCAACAACAAAAGTCAGTTAAAAATTTTAATTATAGTTTGAACTTGAATTCGAGCTCGAACTCAACAAAAATTTAACGAATCGAGCTCGAGTCAAGTTGGCTTAGGCTTGACTCAAACTTGAGCCTATACACGAGTTTTAATAAGCAAAAAAAAAAATAATTATAAATTCATATTTGCATTGGAGATTAAAGTTACAATTAAAATTTTGATTATACAATTATATATACAATATATGTAAACATACTAAAAGAAAAGTCAATATTTTACAAACATAATAATATCTACCACTACTATTATATAAATATATTATCTATAGTTAGCTATTATTTACATTTACATTTTTTAAATATGTAAATAACATACACATTTATATATTATTTAATATATAAATAACAAATAGTAAACGAGCCGAACTGACAAGCCGAGTTTTAATATGTTTAGACTTATTTATTAAGATTTTAACAAGTTCCAACTCGAGCTCAAACGCAAAAAATAAATAAATAAATAAATAATTAACAGATTGAGTTCGAATGAGCCCTTACCAAACCGAGTTTAAATCCGCTTACGAACGGTTCTATTCATTTGTGATCCTACGCATGCATGAGTGCACCATTAGAGATCCCAAAAAGGAAGCAACACAGAGTCATTATAGAAGTGGTATGTGGTGGAAGGGAGGAGAAGGAATGTACTGCCCTTTTCTTCAGCAAAACATTATAGGGAAAGTCTGGGAATTCATGCTTATTCACCTAAAATTTTTTGGATGGGTGATTATGTGGTGAAAAGTAATTTTATCTAAGAGTGTGTCTGACTGTACAGTGTCCAAGCCCTTTGCGCATGAGCCATCTCGTAAACTTTTGCCAGTAATAGCTATATATTCAACTTAAGAAGAAAAATATGACAATTTCAAATATGACGATGAAACTTTGCTGCGCTGAATAAAAAATAATATACTTCAAGAAAGATAAGGATAAACTTACATTCTATGTAATTATTATGATGTATTTAACTTCTCGAAATATATATGTAATGTTGCTCCTGCAATGAATAATATTAATTGTTCCCATTCATTTGGGATGTAGATTGATCTTTTGACTTTTTAACTATTTTAGACTAGGACTAAAAAGTCATGTTTGAGATAGACTTTTTGTCTATTTTGACTTTTGTGAGAAAAAAAATAAAATAATTATAATTTGAATACGACATTTTTTAACCTGAGACTAAAAAACCTATTTAATCTTTCTGTGACTATTTTAACCCCAACCCAACCCAACCCATCATGCCAAACCAATACTATGTTACTAGATGTTCTTCAAGTTCAACAGAGTTTTTTTATTTTTTTTATCCGAAGTTGAATAGAATTTAAGATTAGCATAATTTACTACAACTCATTCATATTGCTTTCATATATCACCTTCTCGGGTTTTGTTATCAACATTTTAGTGTAATTTATTACGATATGTTAATAACTCTTTAACTATTTCATCCACTTTAATAATATTTATTTTATTTTATATAGCATTTTGTATGTATCATTAAAAAATTTAAGTCAAGTTAACAATGATAGCTTATTTAATTTAAAAAATCAATTTATACCATATTATCAAAAGTCAAAGTCTTGCCACGGAAAATGTTTTCCACACGATAGATGTGGGACATGGGGATATCATCAAAAGTCAAAGTCTTGCCCACAGCAAATGCTTTCCACACGACGGATGTGGGACAAGGGGATTTGTCCGTGTCCGGAACAGCAACCCGTTGTGACCGACCGCCATTGAGTCAATATTGGAATTATTTACATTAAAAATAATAATAAA